CATGGAAGGAGACACCCTCTATGGTTTATGAATGGATGCCTCCTCAGACATGTACCGGCTGGTTTCCCTTCAGTGCAGGCGTTTGCTCCAACAATCTGCCAAATAGAAGGCTTGCCTCCGAGCCTTGGGACATTCTTTAAGATGTGCACTGCCTCCGGAGGCAGCCTCTCCACCTAGAGTCCTAGCTTCAGGATTTGGGTCAGAATTTTTATCTCATGGGGACCTCCCAATCGTTAATCCCACCAAACAAGAATAAAGATCATTAGCCACATTCTTTGGTCAAATTAAGCAGGCTTTATATTCTGTCAGATAGGGGTTTTCCTCAAATCCCTCCCTAACATGGGGTTTGAGAAAGTAGCATGGAACACAGAAGAAAAAAAAAAAAAGTGAGGCTTATATAACCCCCAAACACTGCAAGACTAGGGGGTTTTCATGGGTTGGGGGATTTCCAGAGGAATTTTGGCTATGTAGGAACTTTGCTGAATATCTCAAAATTATTTGGCAGAACCTCCAAGGTGGAGGTCAGGGTATAGGGTGTAGGACATGACAAATTCTACAAGATGGCTCAATGCCTGGTCAAATCCACATTTACAGAAAACAAAAATGAACTTATTTTGACCTTGTAACAAGATGGCTTTTAATCTTAAGATGGAGTCAAGCTGGTCATCAGAGTGTCTTAATTAAGCATACAGAAACCCACAGAGAATATGCACCTTACGTGTGCCCCAGCTTTTTCAAACCCTGTGTTTGAAAATGAAGAGTGTGAAGGAGAAGAAAGATGGCTCAAATCCATGAAATGAAAAACCCATGCTCGCTCTCACATGGTATAAAGGGGAATTTAACACTGACCTTTCTTCACACTGAAGTTAATTTATGACATTATATTTGAGGTGTTTTCTTTTTATTCCATGCCCATATTTAAATGCCGTTTTCTCTGTTGTATAAATATTAATGTACTAGAAACTTGATAACCACACAGACTCAAAGTGATTTTGCAGGAAAGACCATTTGGGTCTCCATATTTGGGAGAGCTACATATTTTCCAGTAATGATTATTAGGACTCTTCAGAACTAAAAATCGTAAAGTCAGGGCTCAGGATATAGCTTAGTGATTGAACACCTGCCTAAGGCAAGGCTGGGCAAGGTCTTGGGTTGGATTCCCTAGAGACAAGGAAACGGGGGTGGGGCAGGAAAGGAGGAGAGACGAGAAGGAAAGAAAAAAAAATCAGAGGAAAGGGATGGGAAGGAATGGGAAGAGAATGGAGGAGAGGACAGGGAGAAAGTGAGCACCATTTATGTCTATCTCTGTGGACCTGCTATCTACATATGTGCCTGTATGAATATATATTATGGGTATAAGGATTGAATCCAGGGCTTTTAACATAACAGACAAGTAGGCTGCCACGGAACCACACTCCCAGCCCTATGCCTAAAGGCTCCAGGCGGCATGGTGGACATCTCTGAGAGTCCTTCTGATAGCTGGTGCTGGTTAAATCAGCAGTATGCTGTTCCTCCAGCATCCACTCTCTTACGACTGCCCTGCAGGTTTATTCTCTCCTAGGTTGCAGTTGAAAATTGTCCTTTCTTCAGTGAGAAGAAATACGTGGTTTTCCCATGCACATGCATGCCATAGCACACATGTTCCGGTCGGGAGATGGCCTATGGGAGTCAGGTCTCTCCTTCGACGAGGTGACTTTGTGGGACCAAACGGAAGTTATCAGGATTGGCAGCAGGTGCCTGTGTCTGCTGAGACATCTTGCCTGGTCCCAAATTATTAGTGCGGAGGTTTGGGGTGGGGGTGAGTGCCGAGGCACAGGTGGAGGTGAGAGGACGGAGGAGTCACTCAGCACTGTGTAGGTTTCAGGGTGCCAGGCTTGCCCTCTAAACCCACTCACCCTCCTTTCGGTGAATTTGGAAGCCACATCTGTTTGCCAGCTTTATGCACTGTGGGGCCTGATTTTGTCCGTAGGTCATACCTTACTGAAACCTCCTATGGCACCAACGTTTTCAATTTTAATAAGGTCAGACATGTGACTTTTTAAAAACCGCTATGGTTTATGCATTTGTTGACTTGTAAGAAATCTTTTTTTTTAAACTCTGAAATCATAGAAACCTGTATTTATTTATTTATTTATTTATTTATTTATTTATTTATTTATTTATCAGACAGGTTCTCACTATGTAGCCCTATCCTGGAGCTCTGTGTAAATCAGGCTGGCCCCAAACTCACAGACATCCACCTGCCTCCCTTGTGCTGGCATTAAAGGTGTGTGTCACTACGCCCTACTCATATAAATGCTTATATTTTATTTCTAAAGGTTTTATTGTGCAGCTCTTCACATTTAGCTTCTTCTCCATCAAAAATGTATTTTTGTATAAGACATAAGGTAGGAATCTAATTTTGCTTTTTCCCCATATGGGAGAGGATGGCTGTGTCAGCCTCCCCCACCCACCCCCGACTGGGAATGTCTGTTCCGTCAAATCCCACACCTCCCTCACGCCTCTGCATGCCCCACTCTGTTTCTCTCTTCTCAGCTCGGTTGCCTCAGCCAGTTTTCTTTCTTTTTTTTTCATTCCAAATACAGTGGTAAATATTAACAGCTTTGGAGTGAGTTTTGGCTTCTGGCAGGGTAAGGCCATCCCTTCTCCCCAGAGCCTGTTCTCCAAATTCATCTGTAGCTATGTTTTTGTTATTGCTGTTGTTTTGAGACAAGGCCTGGCTATGTAGCCCTGGTTGACCTGGTTGCAGACCAGGCTGGTCTTGAACTCACAGTGATTCACTTTCCTCTGCTTCAGGAGCACTGAGATTAAAGGCAAGAGACACCACTCCCAGCCTCTCCCGTTTATTTTTATTTTGTTGTTATTGCTGTGGCTGCTGAAACATAACAAAGTGTCTCCCCGTGAGGTGACTTGAAACAAGCCCTGAGGAGTAAAGGGGAGAGGCTGGTTATGCAATCTGTAGCTATCTCCTGTGGCTTCCTGAGCAAGAACTCGGGAAAGTGAAGGGCAATGTGTGAATAGGCCTCCCTGGGATGGTCAATACAAGATCTAGAATCACCAAGGTGGTAGGCCTCTGGCCAGGCCCGGGAGCGATTACATAGGTGATAATCAGCCAGAAAGGAAGCAAATCATGCCTTAGGTTTGGGTCTGGACTACAAAAAAAGTGTAAAAAGAAATATACATGACTGAAAATTTCAAAGCGCGAGTTAAAAATATTAAAGAGAGAGGCCTGCAGAGATTATAGGTGCTCAGAGAGTAAGGGTGTTTCTTGCTTTTCCAGAGGAATTGGGCTCAGTTTCCAGTACCCAGGTTGGGGCCATGGGGGCGCTCACAACCACCTGTAACTCCAGCTCCAGGGAATCTGACGCCCTCTTCTGGCTTCTTTGGGCACCTGTATGCATGTGGCACCTGTACACACGCATATACACACACACACCCACACACACACAGAGATAAATCAAAATGAAAGAATAGAGAAATAAGAAGGAGAAAGCGAGCTGAACACCAGCCATCACTGTTGCCTGTTTACTGACTGTAAACCCAGCACGGTGGGCTGCCTCCAGTTCCTGCTGCCGGGCCTTCCAGGAACATACGCTCTGGCTGTGACTCCAACTAACCCTTTGCTTCCTTTTCAGGGTGCTTCACCACAGAAACAGGAAGCGAAACCAAGAGGTCTCTTTTCTCCTCAAACAACCCTGGCACAGAGTGCTTGCGTGCTGAGGTAAGGAAAGGTGAGCCCACCCTCCCGAGGGCACAGCCCTGGAAAGGCCTCCAGGCCTTCAGTGATACCAGGTGTGGAGATCAGGAAGGGCGAACTCAAGCTGTCTTCTGTGGAAGCCACTGATAAATTAGAAATTGCTCACCTCAGACCTTTCAGCAGAGCAAGCTCCGCCTCTGTTGTTCCCCACTGCGTCTTGAGGTGTCGGTCACGAAGGTCTTGCTCCTGCAGCTAAGCCATGATTGTGATTGCTATTTTTTTTTGCATGTCTCCCCCCAATACCTACACAAAGAGATCCTTGAGGGAGCAGGAACCAGAGGCACAATGGAAAGAACAAGAGCATCTGCAATCTACCATTTATTACCTGTGGAACCTGGCTCTCTGTGACTGCTGCAAAATGGAGGAATGTATGTAAATAGGGATGTTTGGGCTCTTCATGCATACAGAGGCACGAGGCACTTTGTAAGTGTTCCTGACCACATCCTAGACTCTGTCTCTCTATCCTCAAGCTTGAGTGTAGATGAGTCCCAAGTATCTATCAATACTGGTCCAGCGAATACAGGTCAGTCAGCTCGAGCAGCTCCAGTCAGAGAGCTTTTCGGTCTTGACAAATCACAAGAAGCCCAACCCTTAGGATGATCCATAGGCAAGAAGAGCCTCAGGCTGGGGTGCTAGGATCATGGAAGGTGGCACTTAGATGGTACAGTCAGACAACAGGTAGCAGAGTAAATGGATCTCTCGAAGGCATAGAAGACAAGATGTGTTCTGACAGATGTGTGTGTGGTTGGATATGGTTAAAAAAGAAAAAAGAAAAAAGCTCCCCAGTTTTGTTGTGGTTGGAAATGCAGAAGACAGGTCAGTGACGGGCACTGCCCACATCTTAGCACACTTCCCGGCAAGGTCACCAGAGTTTAGATAGAAACAGGAGCCAGCTGGTGTGGGGAGGATGGGGGGAAGGGCAGAACTCCCCAGTCGACTTTTGCAATCTGCCTGGGTTTCAAAAGCCAGTGGGGAAGGAAGGAAGTGACGGCCACAAAAGGAAGGGAGGCAAGGACCATTCAGAGGCACTGGCCCAGGTCCCTTCCACGTAGACTGTGTCCTAGCAGCATCGGTCCTAGGCCCCCAGAGGGGAGAGAACAGTTCATTGGTCCTCTCCATTGCACTTTCAGTAACCTCCCTTGAAGAAAGTGTGCTCCAACCGTCTGAGGCCACCTTGGCTGCAGGCAGTTGCCCCTCCGCTGGAACACTAGCGTTATGCCTGTGTGCTCCACGCCCTGTGAATCCAGCCCTTAGCTTCGGGTCTCCACCTCTAGCGCAGCTGACTTGGAAGACAAGAGTCTGTTTCTAGAGATGCTGGCATACTCCACAGACAGAAGGGGTTCAGGCGAGGGCTTCAGGTAGGGTTGGGTGTTGCCATTGTTGGAATCCTGAGGGCTCACGTGGTTTAGGTGGATGAGAGACGCATAGCAGATGCTCCCAGTGTCCTCATTGGAGAGGATCTGCTGGTCCTGAGAGTCGAAGGAAACAGGTGTTTGCTGAAAGAATAACAATAACAATAACAGTGCTCAATGCCCTGTGAGGAGCCAGGACTGGGTGGTGGGACAGGGACAGAGTTTAAGATGTAGAACACGGGCTGGAGAGATTCCTACCTGGTTGAGAGCATGGACTACTCTTTCAGGGGACCTGGGTTCAGCTCCTGGCACCCACGTAGGAGTGTTAACTCTAGTTCCAGAGGATTTGACTCCCTTTTCTAGCCACCTCAGTCACCTCATACCCTTGGTGCACATACATACGTGTAGACAAGACACTCACGCACATAAAATAAAAGTAAATAAATCTTCTCTTAGAAATAGATGAGGCTAAGTGTGGTGGCACACACCTTTAATCCCAGCACTCAGGAGGCAGAGGTAGGCAGATTTCTGTGAGTCTGAGGCCAGCCTGGTCTGCAAAGCAAGTTGCAGGACAGTCAGAACTGGTACACAGATCCTGTCTCAAATAAATAAATAAATAAATAAATATTAAAAATAAATAAATAAAAAGATACAGGATGTGACATCCAGCCTGCAGATCCTCTGGGAAGGGGTGGCTGGAAAGTTGCCTTTCCTGTCACTGAGCTGAGGAGCACTGACCTCCCCAGGCTCCTGTGCTTGACTCCAGATCCATGAGAGCAAAGGCCCTGTGGGTGGGGGCTAAGAACACATTAATTTGCATGTTTTTCATGGTTAAGGATGGGATGCAGGGTTTTGCACATGCATGACAAAGACTGTACCATTGAGCTACAGTCCCCAGGCCTTGTGCTTTTGAGACCGGCTCTCATCTTGTTGCCCAGGCTGGCTTGAAATTGGAGACCATTCTGCCTCAGCCTCGTAAATGCTGGGATTACCAGCCGGTGCCACCGCACCCTTCAAGAAACTTTTTATAGAGTTCTCCATGTGTATCTTACGCACATTCAAACTTGACTAGAGCTGAGTTAGAAAGAGCTTTGCTAGGGATGCATTTCGTGGAATCAGTTCTAGCATCATACAGAGGGCTGGGTTAGATGACCTTGGAGCCTCCTAATTCTGTGGGTCTTCAGTACCAGTGTCTCGGGTCTGACGGAACTACCCAAACCACCCAGTCCTCAGGAGGACTTAGAGAACCATGGTTAATCACAGTTTTTCTACACTGACTGGGCCAATGGCAGCTAGTCTGTAGGAGGTCTGGAGACATAAGGCACAGGAAAAGCTGTCTCCTATGGAGCTGAAGGCCAGGAGTTGGTTCTACCAATCTCTCTCTCCCTCCCTCTCTCTTTCTCTCTGCTCTTTCTCTCTGTCTCTCTTCTCTCTGTGTCTATCACGTCTCTCTCTCTCTCTCTCTAGTTTGAGTTGCGGAACACGAGAAAAAAAACATTGCATAAAAGGGGAATACAAACGGGTCATGATGACACAAGCAGTCATGAGTGTGTGTCACCATTTAGAGTAAATAGAAACCAAATGCAGGCCCAAGTTCACAACAGCAGATATACACCAGGAAGCTAGGGTTCCCTAGGTGCTGGAGGAGATATACACCAGGAAGCTAGGGTTCCCTAGGTGCTGGAGGAGAGTGTTTCCTACTTACAGTTGTCTCCTTCTGTCCCGATAAGTCTTCATAGATATGGTGACATTCATTCTCAACTGTGAGGAAACAAGCAAAGTTAGTGGAGGGACTTCCCCTGTGCCACTTCACCCACTTTCTATGGCAATAACAGCTTGGGCAAAGGGACCCTGTTGGAAGAGAGGCCAGCACTTGGGCAACAAAATAGTTTCTGCCAAGGGAGCTCCCAAATACCCAGCACCAACTACTGTCCAGAGATTCTAAGAAGCCAGATATCCTGGTTGCCCGTGTTTAATATGTATAAACCCAGTCAACTTTGTGATCAGTTTCAGGTGACTACCTGTAAGTTCCATATTTAGACACCAGATTTAAGTATAATCTGTTCACCGGTGGGGTTATATGTATAAGAGGTTGGATTTCTAGTTGTTATATCAGTGTGAAGCATAGCCTTTCCTGTGAACACGCCCACCCACACTCACACCTGTATGCATGCTCACGCATACTCCTAAATGAAAACTCATTCAGAGTTTTCAGAGTCTGGGCATTTTGCTGTTTCTATGTTGTTTTCCAAAAATGTCAACAGTGACCCACTAAACTGATTGCATAACATTTAGAAAATAAGCTTATAGAATTTTAAAATTCTCTCTTTCCTAAGGATTTTTTTTTTTTTTTTAGAGCTTGAAAAAAATGATATTCACAAGCTCCAGGAGCATTCTGATCCACTCAAACCCATTTTAATCTTGTTCACAGAACTATCTGGAAGGCATGTGGAGAATAAATACTTAAGACACAGAGGCCAAAACAAAGCAAAAAAGAATGCAGAAGTCCTCTGAAGGCTGCAGAGTTCATAGGACTAATGCTAAAACCTTAGAAGTTTAAAGATTAAAATGTCGTTGAAGAACCCGAAGGAAAATGTTCTTTCCCTTTGTACCACATTCGCTTTTGGGGGCTGTAAGTGTGTATGTGTGTGTGGAGGCATGTGTGCATGTGTGTTCAGGTGTTCACGTGTGTGTAGAAGACAGAGAACGACCTCCTCTTGCTCCTCAGGAACTGTCCACCTTGCTTTCTGAGACAGAGAGACAGTGTCTCTCTCTGGGACCTGGGGCTTGCCGATTCGATGAGGCTCAAGGATCCACCTGACTCCAACTTCCCCATAGTAGGATCACAAGTGTGCACCCTGATTTCTAAACAGGTGCTGGATAGTGAGTTCAGGTCCTCGTGTTTCCACAGTGAGCGCTTCACCAGCTGAGCCAGAACCCCATACCCGTCTCTGCTGTGGAGGCTCAGGGCATAGTTCAGTGGGTGAATGTGTATTTAAAATGCCAGGGGCATGAGTTCCCTCTTTAGTACTACCAAGGGGGGAAATAGTGTGTATACTTTAAAATGTGTATGAAATATACATCACATGTTGCATAATGTTGAATATCTATAGTAAAATGGTGAACAGAGTAGAACAAAAGGGTAGATCTGTCCTCTCGTAATTACTCTTCGGTCTGGTTTTATTCCTGTTGCTGTGACAAACGCCCCGACCGAAATAAGTCAACACAGGAAAGGACAGGGTTCATGTGCTCACAACTGCAAGTTACCGTCTGTCACTTTGAGAAGCTGAAGCAAGAACTCAAGCAGCTAGACACACCGCATCCATGGCCAAGAGCAAAGAGAATAACACATCCTGCTTGCGTGCTCTCTCCTACTGTCCCCAAGCCCCTGCCTAGAGAATGGTTCCGCCCACATTGGCTAAGTCTACCTACATCAACTGACAATCGTAATACCCTCTGGCCCCTGCAGACACACTCACAGACTAACCCGACCTAGTGCATTCTTCATTAAGACTCTCTTCCTGGGTGAGTCTAGATATGTTGAGCTGACAATTCAAAACTAACAAGCCACCCATATCCCTTCTTGGAAAGAGCAGTTACAAGCTACTTGCTTGTCAAAAGTATAAGGTATGGCATACTAGTCTTACCTGTCATCTTCATGTTATACATTAAATCTTTCGACTCATTCATTTTACATATTTGCTACTTGGTGATTTTTGACCTACATACATCTCTGCACTTCCTTCCTACTGAGAAAAACAAAATTTAAAAATGATAGCAAGATACATTTCAAGATTTATATAAACTTATTAATAAGTCCCTAATCATAAAGTTGAAAAAAGAAGTGCGGGCTGGAGAGGTGGACCAGTGGTTCAGAGCACTGCTTGTTCTCCGGGATAACCCAGGTTTGATCCCCAGCAGCCACATGGTGGCTCACAATCTGTAACTCTAGTTCCAGAGTTGCCAGGGGATCCGATAAGTACCAGGCACACATGCACAGGGTCTCTAGAAATACGTGCAAGCAAAACACCCGTACTCAAGAAATAAAACAATAGAAAAATTAAGAATGATAGTTAAGAATAAAAAAATTAAGAATTAAGTATGATCCAGAATCCTAGCACACCTTGTTTTCAGCAAATAGCTGGGGAGTTGGGGTGCCTGGAGGTAAGCTGAGTGGAACCAATGTGTGTCATCCCCACTCACCCCCAGTGTCCACCCCCCCCCCCACTTCCCTAGGCACCAGGCCACCAGGGCTGCCACCTTGTAAAGGGGAAGAAAGCCACTTGGGCATCTGGCCTTTCAAGCAAAAGAAACAATGTGGGCTTACCTTTCTGGGCTGGTCCCTGGGATTTCCTGAGGTACAGGACCACAAGGACGACAAGTCCAAGCAGTAGCAAGATGGCCACAGCCACTCCAGCAATGATGGCCTTCCCCATCCCGTTACCTAGAAAGCTTTGGAACAAGGATTAGCCAGGTGAGGAAAGTCAGAATCCAACACGCGTCCTGCCGGAAAACCTTCCTTCCTCACGCCTGCAATTCCCACAGGTCATTCCCCTACCCGGCCTCTTCTGAGGTACCCTGCTCACAGGCCCTGCGGTCTCCATAACAGGGTAATGTTGATGATGTCACCAGCCATTGTTCCCTTTCCTGTTCCTCTCTCCTGTCCCTTAACTTTGTTTGGGACGCCAGCTCTAGCCTCCTTCATTCAGGTGTCTTTGTCTCTGTCTTGAAGCTTTATGTCAGCCCTTCTCTGTGAGACGCAGTCAGCTCCCAGGAGAACCAGAGAACTTGACAAACAGCCCTGCCAGCTAAGTGCATTCCAGTATGTCCTACTTTGTGTCAAAAGAGGGACTCGGAGGTAGATAAGAATACACCTGTAGCAGCCTCTAGGGATGGGGTCTGAGTGGCAAGGCCATAGAGAACGGGGAAGCACATCCGGGGACATGTCAGCTCAGCTGGTGTCTGGTTTAATTTTTAGACAAGTAGTGGCCTGCAAGATCCTGGGGTCCACTGTCTTCAGGGATGCTGGGTTCAGAGAGAAATAGATGGTAGAGGCCAAGGGCCTAAGGCCTGGGGCCTGGGAGCCCATCAGCAGGCATGCAAAGGTTCCAGTCCATGAGATCAGGAACTTCAGACTCAACACAGCTCGCTGACAACAGCCCTGCTCACGCCTGTTGGAAGGTCCCTGCTGTCCTTGAGGTTGCAGTCCTTCCAGTCAGATAACCATTCTGAGCTCAGTGCTAGATAGTGGAATCCCTCTCCCCAGCAGGGCCTCCTACTCTCTGCCTGACTTTATCTGAAGAGTGTCTTTAGACATAATGCCGCCGACCACACTTGATATATGGCCTTTGATACAGCTTCCTGCTAGCTCTCTCCTCCCTGCACCTATAGGATAATTAGGTTCTGTGTTCCCATTCGTATGATAGGGGCATGCTGTTTAATGCAAACCAAGCAGCATTCTTGAAGTGCCTAGTTTTACCCAATTATGTTCACCTATCCTGGGAACCCCCCATCTACTCCCCAATGGGTAGATAGCCTTTGTTCTCCTGAATCAAAGTTGAACTATCTCCCTGAAGTGGTTCCTTCTCTATCGTGTTCATGGCCTTTCAAGACCTGTGTCTCACCTTCTGTTCCTCCTTGGGAGCTGGTGGCCAACAGCCCCCCCCCCCCAGGAATGAGGAGAACCACAATGCCAAAGAGCAAGAGAGGACCGGAAGAAGGGTGGAGGTAAAGACAGCAATGCCATCACATGTTGCCTGTCCCAAGAGGGAAAGAGTAGACAAGTGGGGATCCTTGCTATCCACACTCCAGTCCACCCTCCAGGAGATGGTGGGACTGAATGGAGGGTAGTCGTGTTCTTCACGACCAGCCAGTAACATCTGGTGACATTTTTAGTGGCCATATGTGTGTTCAGAACAACACTTGTGCTACTGCCCATGAAAGGTCAAAGACATCTTAAAAGGCACAGAACAGCCTCAGGGACAAAGAATTAGCCAGCTGAAAAGGCTGAGAGCCTGGGCTGGAGGCACAGGCCCACGGTCTGAGATACTCAGGAGGCAGAAGCAGGAGGACCAAAAGTTCAAGGTCAGCTTGTGTGATAGAGTGGATCGAAGACCAGCTTGAGTTTCTTAGTGAGATCACAATCTCAAAGTGAAAAGCAGAAGGCTGAGACTGCAGCACAGTCATAGAACTCCTGCCCAGAAAATGTGAGGTCTCGGGTACAGTCTGCAGCATAAAAGATAAATAGATGATAGATAGATAGATAGATAGATAGATAGATAGATAGATAGATAGATAGAT